CCCTCCCTAAAAGATCCTATAAAGTCTTCTGTCCCCTTTTGTTCGGGGCTATCTTGGTCCACAAGGTAGCCCTCCACGTGAGCTTCCACCTGTGCGGAACTTCCAATAAACCTGCTTTTACTCATGTCAATGTGTCTGGTCCAGTTTTGTGTGGGTTCAGCTGCCTCAGTTATGACCTTTCATTTAGAAGCTGTTATACGGTATGAGCTTAGTTTAGAGTACACAGTAGCAGAGATGCACAGAAGTAGATCAGTTGGAGAGGTATTTAAAAGTTAGGGTTAATAGGACTTAGGCCTGGGAAAATAGCTCAGTGGCATAAACACCTGCCTAGCAAGCACAAGGTCCCGAGTTTGATCCCCAGTACCACTTGCTGTGCTGTTCGCTGTTCGTGAAACTGGGCATGGCGGTACATGCCTGTAATCTTAGCACTAGAGAGGCTGACACAGGAGGAGCACTAGGAGTCCAAACTATGTAGTGAGACCCTGTATAAAAGGAAAGGAAGAGAGAAAAGAAAAAAGTAATTAATAGGATTTAGTGATTGATTATGTATGGGAAAAGAAAGAAAGTTGTTCTAAGAATGACTTCCAGATTTCTGGCTGTTTGCAGAGTTCTTATTACTGGTTGGGGATCACTGGAAGAACAAGAGGAAAGGAGAACAAAGGCAAATGATCAATTGCACTGAGTTTAAGATGCTGAGTTTAGGATGCCAATGAGATAGATGCTAAAGAAGAAGACAGTTGGAAAGAGGAAAGTCTAAAACTCAGAAAAAGGTCAAATTAAAGATGTAAGTATCAGTATAAAAGTGGTATTGGAAGTCATGGGTGTTCATGAAATTGTCCAAGGTCAGATTAAATGGAGCCTAGAAGGAAATTAGACTAGTGAACAGGAGCCAAGAAAGGCATTGTGGAATGACGTATTAATCAGAGGTGAAGAGAATGACAGTGTGAGAATCCTTTGGGGTACTTAGAACCTTTTAATGTATAGTAAATATACTAAGTATATATGTCTGATAAGTGAATGTTGTCATCCACCAAAGACTGAGTGAGTTTGACAGTGACTCTAGAAGAGCTGCTACTCATGGTCAGGGACAGCCTGACACCAGAGATTGTTCAGGCCAGTGGTAAGGGTTTTAAATATTTTTTTTTTTTAATCACAGTAGCTTTGTAGTATAATTTCAAGTCAGGAATGGTAATGCCTCCTGCCTTGTCTTTTTTTTGCCCAGAATTGCCTTTGCTAAAATGAAGGAAGGAAAGATTTATTTAGCTCACAGTTACTGGAGGGTTCAGTCCATATTCCCCTGGCTCCAAGGCAAACAACAGCAGTTCATGCAGCAGAAAACAATGAAGAGAAGAGGAGAAGCAGCAGCTGCAGCGGCGTCCATCAAGCCTCTCTCTTCCCTCTGCGATCAGCGCTCCACAGTGAAGATCGGATGGCGCGGCAGCCGAGATCAAGCTCCTTCGAAGACCCACTTCTCCACGGAAGCAGGGCGGGGCAGCAGGAAACCAGGCAGGGCGGCTTCCTGCCTTTCTCAATTCCTGGGCCCTGCCCACCTGAAGGGCGAGGCGCCCATGCGGCTGGAGCTGATTCAGCCAAGTTGACACAATGTATCAACTAACACATGGGTGTTCATGAAATTGTCCAAGGTCAGATTAAATGGAGCCTAGAAGGAAATTAGACTAGTGAACAGGAGCCAAGAAAGGCATTGTGGAATG